AATTTCATCTGCCAAGTATCAGCCCATTCGCTAATTAAATCCAGATCCCTTTGAAGTCTATCAAGTCTAATTAATGAGTAAAACTATCTACTCAAAATGTATTCATTTTCTCATTTCCATGACAACTGATTACCAGTCTGAGCTTGCAGGCAACCAGCCAGTGAATCCCAGCCGACCCTCGTTGGAATAATTAACTCAGGGAGGGTTTTTATAAGCTCAGCTGGGTGGATACAGACTCAGAGGGTCAGAGGAAAGCCTACAAGATCATGGAGGGAAGGCTCCTTCAGGGCTGCTGTGCTCTGATATCCTGTGCGGTTTTTGGCTCTACACTGTTTATACTCTGTTCTCAAAGGGGCAGTTACCACAATTTGTGTTTTAATTTCACTGCATAGACCTCTGTGTTTGAATGCTGCTGTCTGTGCCCGTCCAGCCGGCTTTGGAAAAGGATAAAAGCATGACGTTTTAGCTGCTTCTTACAGGAGTGCAGAGGGACATGCATCACTGCTCAGACAGTCTGGTCACTTATACACCATCTGCATTAGCAGGTACTCACTGTGTTTGTACCACACTTTCCATGTGATGATGAGGATGATCAACAGCAGCACCAATAAGCCCAGTCCTACATACAGAAACACGCTGCACCAAAGAACTGAATAAGAGGGTGGATTTGGACAGTAAACAGTCTTGCATGCTTTATACCAACACGGTACAGCCACATCTGTACAATTACACAGCATAACTGTGAGGAACAGGAGACATTAACAAAGAGCATGAAAATAGCTAAAGATTATCACACAACATGTTCATTGTCACAACAGCATAGGGCACAAGGCAGGGGCTCATCCTGGATGGGATGCTACCTCAAGTTTATTATTAAGAAAAAAAAATAATATCTGGTCAAGATCATTATCTTTTTTTCTTAGAATTAAAATGACAGTTTCCCATCAATGTGTGACCATGTAAATGCTGTTAGCTGGACCCCCACACTACTGTAAATGCTGCTGAATGCTTACCTCAGGTTTTCATTATCCCCTCCTTCTTTATCATGTACAGAGAAAAGGACAGCAGTGGAAACAGGATAAAGGATTGTTAATAAAAAAGCAACGTTCTGTTAGTCAATAAATACTCTTAAGAAAAGGTCACTCATGAAACTGAAATATAAATTATGAAAGATATTCTACAGAGGAACTGGTTGGATGCAAAACAATAAATTATGGTTATGACCAAAGTGTTCCTATCCCATGGCACTGATAGTGAACAGGTGAGATTACTTATTTTATGAACATATTATAATGTATTTTTTGTAGCAGGGTGGCACAGTGGTGCAGTGGGTTGTACTGTTGCCTCATAGCTCAGGGACGTGAGTTCAAGTCTTCGCCAGAGTTCTGTGTCTATGGAGTTTGCATGTTCCCCCCTGTGTCATTGTGGGGTTTCCTCCGGGTACTCTGGTTTCCCCCCACTGTCCAAAAACATGCTGAGGTTAATTGGAGTTGTAAAATTGCCCGTAGGTGTGCTTGTGTGAGTGAATGGTTTGTGAGTGTGTCCTACAATGGGTTAGCACCCTGTCATGGGATGTTCCCTGGCTTGTGCCCATAGGTTTGGGACCCTGAATTAGACAAACAGTTTCAGACAATGGATGGATGCAGCACTGGAACAGATATTACAGAGTACAACTGTAACACTGGCCTTTGCTAAAATGAGAAACCACCTACAGACATGTCAGCCTGCCTGCACACCTTTAGTAACAATTCATCCATCACAAAGATGAAAAAAATGCCTGAATTATGTTGCAAACTACATCGATTTGTCTGGATTTGTAACAAGTGGCTGGCTGTATGTCTGCAGAAAATGCTGTGACTTTTGTCATATTACAGACTGATCATAAACTAGAAGACACACACTCTCTATTAGAGACATATTGGATTGTTGGAGGAAACACACACAGCCTGAGGAGAACATGCAGACTCCACACATACAGAGCATTAGCCAGATTCAAACCCCTACACATGGAGGTGTGAAGCAACAGTGCCACCTAGCATAGAAAGTATAATCCCAATAAATAACCCTATTTTGCAGCTGAAAAATAGGGGACTATCCCCACAAAGAAGCACAAACCCCTTTGTGAGTGAAACTGTTGGGTTAATTAGTTTTTATCTATTTCTATTCAAGCATAAATGATTCACAGGCAGATTTAAATGAATTGCTTACGTTTGACAATAATATGAACTGGAATCTGCCGGTTTCCAGCATCACACCAATACCAGCCTGTGTCCTTCCTCTCCAGTCCCCTCATTGTGACAATGAAGGTTTTTTTTTCTGTGTCATTCCTGATCAGGACAGGTCTCCCATCCAAACTCCCAGATCTCTCTGATGCACAGGAGCTCCCCATCTTACACCACATCCTATGTCCTTTATTGTTTCCGTAGCGACACTGAACACTGACACTGTCTCCTTCCACACCTGTCACCTCCTGGTTGTCCACTGACAGCCCTGGAGGACCTGAACACACAGATAAAATACTCAAAGGTCTGCACAACAATAAAATGTTTATGAATGTCAGGCCATTACAACATGCATATGTAAATGTTTGTCCAATAAACTGACATTTATTAACATATTCCTTATCATATTTAACCCCATGAAGTCGCCCAATTTAGCTGACACTGTTACTTCTTCCAAGTCTTGTTTATCACATTGAATGAAATTAAAATGTGGAATTTTAAACTATTAAATATATTTTTATTCAGTGTTTGTGTTAATGTCCTTCCTTTCTTACTAAATGACATGATACATACTGTGCATCTCATTGGCTACAGTCTGCAGTACAGATATCTTACCATCAGTAACTGACAGATTAACCCGATCCCCAACATCTGAACCTCCACTGATCTTCACACGACACCAGTACTTATCAGAGTCCCCAGCTGTCAGATTGTTGATGGTCACAGTGACGACTCGCTGGTCAGGATAATGCCTGACTGACACTTTACCCTCCTGTGGAGAGTCAGTGAGTACTATGGGAGTACATGAACTCTTATTCCCTCTGCACCAGTATTTCTCATGGGTTTTATATCTGTCATCATAGAAACATGGAATGGTGACAGATCCTCCTCTCTGTACAGGCATCTGTTTCAGTGTGGACACACCTGCAGGGACAGTATGAAAATTTAAAAAGCTAATTAACTCTCACTCCTTCTTACACCATTTATACACCAATTAATAAAGAGGCAGAATATTAAACACCGAGTATTAAACAAAGAATATTAAAATTTGTTTTGCTAAAGGCACAGGTCAAATAAACATTGTAATAAAAACCTGTTATTTTAGCGTTGTGAGGACCCTTTTTTCAGTGCCCATAAGGAGAAATTCAATTCTCTAAAAATATGTGACTGCAATAAAAACTAAAAATGCCAAAACACTTGTATTTTGTTTGATTACCTATGCTTAAGGTTAGGGCTGGTTAGGGGTTAAGGTTGTCATTGTTGGGATTAGGGTTGTAACCATAGAAATGAATGGACGGTGCCCACAAAGATATGAGTACAGGTCTGTCTGTCTGTGTGTGTGTGTGTGTGTGTGTGTGTGTGTGTGTGTGTGTGTGTGTGTGTGTGTGTGTGTGTGCCCTGCGACAGGTTGGCGCCCCATCCTGGGTTGTTCCTTGCATGGACGGATGGATGGGAATTTACAGCCCTGAAGGGAGCTGAGGAGAGTGTGCTGATACTGTGCGTCACTGCATCCACCACACGGCGAACCACCTCAGGGATGAGAACCTGAGAGAAGCCGTGTGGCGGGCCCCTGATGTAGCCCATTTAAACTGATACTGTTACTTCTCTCTGAATTTATTTATCACATAAGTGATAAATATGTATATTTGTGTTACGAGCGTGCGGGCGAGCGGGGAAGCAGGTGAGATGAGCCGTGAATACGGGTAGCAAAGGGGTTTATTCGTCGGGACACGAACAGCATGGCAGACAACATCAAATGTCATGACAATAAACAATGACCGATCTGGGAGACAGTGGGAGACACGGACTAATATACACCAAACAAGCCAAGAGAAACAGGAAACATGTGATGACAATTGGGAATTAACACGAGGTGACGAGGTGGGCGTGGCACACACGAGGATCGTACGGAGCTTGGCGTGACAATTTGGACATTAATTTATAAAATGCAGTTTAAAACTGACTGATTCATTCCTTTTATTTTTTAATTTCCATCTTTATTTAAGAATAAATACTTTACAGTCATTTCAACTCTTACAATGAACATTTGCATTCATGCTTATATAGAAATACATGTATGAAAAGGGTCTGATTAAATATTTTGTACAGACATCTTACCTTCAGTGACTGACAGGTAAATCTGATCTCCAACATCTGAAGCTCCACTGATATTTACAAAACATGAGTACCAACCAGAGTCCGCAGTTGTCAGATTGTTCATGGTCACATTGAAGACTCGCTGGTCAAGATCATCTCTGATTGACACTTTCCCCTCCTGTGCTGAGTCAGTGTGTACTATGGGAGGGCATGAACTCACATTATGCCTTCTGCACCAGTATTTCTCATGTGTTTTATACAAATCACCATAGAAACATGGGATGGTGACAGATCCTCCGTTCTGTACAGTCACCCATCCAACTGTGGACACACTGTCAGCATCTGCAGGGAGAACAACCAACTGAATTCACATTTTCCACATCACAGTGTCTCTAAGTAACTATAATGTTTGCATACTTAGATTAGGGTCACATTCGTTTATCAGAACCATGGGGATGTATAAAAGACAAAAACTGTCATTTTGTCACAAGAACAAGGGAGAGACACAGGAAAACAAAACGGGTGTCGGAGGAAAACCAGGACCTAAAATCACTGGTAATAAGGCACAAGGGAGGTGAATGAATGGGCTCGTCACTTTGTGGGATGACCACGCCCCTTTGACACTAATCTTAACTTAATTCTGTGGTAATTGACATAAGAATGTGATACAGGAAGTATGTAAATGCATTTTAGCTCAGCCATTCATCTTCCAAATGCTAGTACAGGGTCAGTACAGTACAGGGAGAGTGGAGCTGATCTGAGGCAGCAAAAAGCACAAGGCAGGGGAACACCCAGGACAGGATGCCAGTCTGTCACATGGCAAACACTCACACACAGTCACTATGGGCACTTTTAGAGGCACCAATTCACCTGAACCACGTGTCTTTGGACTGTAGGAGGAAACCGGAGAACTCAGAGTAAACCGGCATAGATACAGGGAGACCATGCAAACTGCCCAGAGAGCTGGGCTTGATATCGAACCACAAGCCTGGAGGTGTGAGGCCCCCACGCTGCCCCCAGTCTCTACCAGCTAGAGGTTAACTAGCTCTCCAAACCTGCTGCAGAGTGAAAGACAACCAGGTCTAGTCTCAACCTCAGAGGCTGATCTTGACCCCAGATAAACACAGACCTGCTCCAGCAGCACATGAAGCTGGGTGTTTAGACCCCTCTGTCTGTACACACAGAAATGACTGATGGCATCCCGGCTGTCTGCTCACATAACCACCTGTGCTGCTGAAATGATCCCAGTAAGATCAATCACAGGCCACACAAAAAACCAAAGGGGACAAGAGACAAGGGCATTAAAAGAGTCTTTTTTTACTGCTTGATCACTAAAAGGGTGTGCTAAGAGCATCACACATTATATGTAGATATTATACTTACAATATCAATAATAGATACTTTATTAATCCCCAAGGGGAAAGGGTCTATATGCCTCCCTCAACTTGCTCTTTGTGGAGTAAGTTGTCCACAGAGGGCAGCCACCTGCAGTGGTACCCAGGGAGCTGGGGGTTAAGGGCCTTGCTCCAGGACCCACAGATGTGCTGAGGCTGGGTTTGAACTGGCAATCTTGTGATTATAAGCACACAGGCTTAGCCCACTGAGCCACACGCTGCCCAATAACCTAATCCCTGATAGATTGGTCATGTGTTTAATATCACTGTTCCTGAACTTGAAAACACTTCAAAAGACAAATCGACTCTTTAAAAAACTAAAGAAATTACAAATCCATGAGCAGATATTTTTTCTCTTTTGGAGTTACAGTGGACACTTCTTATAGTGATCTGGGTGAAATTGATCATTATAAGTGGATGATCATTATAACAGATTTTTTTCTTCTTTATGTCTCAGGGAGATTACCGTCTAATTGAGGTTTGTATATTTTTACATGAATATAAGGTAATATAATGGACAGCGTCGGTATTTGCTGAATTTTATTTACGATTTCAAGATTCAGTACAGCTGTTTTAAACTCTTTTCAAATTACTGTACTGTACAAATTAAATTTCTGAACTGTGTGTAATTCAAATATGCGATAATACAGTACAGTACTGTACATAAATATTCATTTCAATACATTTTTTTTTACACAGCACATATTCACAGCGTTACATTGTTTCAAAGCGCTTATTGTAGTTTCACTGCGACATCTCGGTGGCTCGTTTTTGGTGGCTTTGCTGAGTCTGTATTTGTCATTAAAAGAAAATTACTTCCTTTTTCCTGTCATGTTTTCTGTGCATGCTGCATTAGCCTCAGATAGCAGGGCGACCAAAGTAAAGTTAAAAAAGAAGAAGAAGAAGAATGTTGGGTTGAAATTGTATATATATTATCACTCACGTGTATTCTGAAGAATGCATAACTTGTTTCATCAAACCACTGTGTAAGTGTTTACCAGTAATTTTCCATCACGTGCAGCAGATGAGCCCACTTCTGCTGTACGTTCTGTTGTTCCTGTTCCCACTCCCACTTTCCCATTGCATCCTATCCCATTCCAAAATGTTGTTCACACCCACAATGTAACCTGATCAGTATGTTTACCTTGTAGTATAAATAAACCCTGTCGAGGGGCCACACCTTGGAAGCCATCACTGTAACTCACTGTAGAAGGTGTGGGCCCCCTTTGTACAAGTAAAACAGCGCGTGTCTCATACTCTGTGGGCCAGCAGCCGGGGGGGGCTGATCACTCTCTCCGACATAAAAACTTGGCCCTTCGAGCCGGATCACAAACCAGTGATCCGTGCGGATCGGGGAATCCTGAGGACATCACCGGGGCGCCGAGAGGAGCGACACCGAAGTCTGTCGACAGCCGCTCGTCTAAGACGGGTCGAGAAAGTCCTGGAACGTGA